ACCTCCACCTCCCAGGTTCAAGTGATTCTCCTGTCTCGGCCTCCCAAGTAGCTGGGACTACAGGTGCATGCCACCATGCCCAGCTAATTTCTGAATTTTTAGTAGAGATGAGTTTTGCCATGTTGGCCAGGATGGTCTCTCCTGACCTCAAGTGATCCGCCCGCCTCAGCCTCCCACAGTGTTGGGATTACAGGCGTGAGCCACCACATCTGGCCCGTATCATCTGTTTTAATTAAACACTACAAAATAGACAACTGTCCTTCAAAGATTCCTACAAACAGTGGATTGAAAATAATAACAATCATGCACGCATGGACAAATAACTGAAAAAAGTTAAACTAACGCTCATCTCATAGGATGAGCTCTTCCAAAGCTACATTAAAAGATAAAACATGGTAACCAATTGTTTCACTCAATAGAACTTACTGTGATGCTGGAAATGTTCTAGATTGGCACTATCCACATGATAGTCACTAGGTTTATCTTGTTTCTGAACACTTGAAATATAGCTAAGTGGACTAAAGTTTTATTTTAAAAATATAAGTATTTAAATAGCCACATAGGCTAGTGGCTACCACATTGGGCAGCACATATCTAGGAAACACAAATAGAGCCAGGCCCTTGGGTTTGAATCCAAATGCGATCACATACAAACTCTGTGACCTTTGGCTTAACTTTCCCGTGCCTCAAAGTCTTTACCATAATCATAATACCTATCTCATATGGCTGTTGCTAAAATTATTATTATTATTTTTTTAAGACAGAGTTTCGCTCTTGTTGCCCAGGCTGGAGTGCAGCAGCATGATCTCGGCTCACTGCAACCTCTGCCTCCCAGGTTCAAGCGATTCTCCTGCCTCAGCCTCCTGAGAAGCTGGGATTACAGGCGCACGCCACCACGCCTGGCTAATTTTGTATTTTTAGTAGAGATGGGGTTTCTCCATGTTGGCCAGGCTGGTCTCAAACTCTTGACCTTAGGTGATTGCCCGCCTCAGCCTCCCAAAGTGCTGGGATTATAGGTGTGAGACACCGCGCCTGGCCTAAAATTAAATAGTTAAGGCATAAAAAGTACTTAAATATTGCAAGATAAATGGTAAGTTTTTAATCTCATAGTCAGATTTGAGGGAAAAAAGCAAAAAAAATTAAAATAATTTGAATTATGAATTGACAAACTTTTGTTACTAATGAACCTTGAACTAAGTTTACATTGGGGCTTCATAAATTCAGTACTTAGTATGAAGCTATCACAAACTGCAGGACATTAACAAATAATTTATTAGGTTGGTGCAAACATATTTGTGGTTTTTGCCATTGAAAGTAATGCAAAAACCACAATTACGTTTGCACCAACCTAATACTTCATCTTTATCCTATCGTGACACTTTCTTCTTTTTTTTTTTTTTTTAATTATAATTTCACTGGGCATTGTGGCTCACACCTGTAATCCCAGCACCCTGGGAGGCTGGGGCGGGTGGATTGCTTGAGCTCAGGAGTTCAAGACCAGCTCTGGAGTTCGAGACCATAGACAACATGGCAAAATCCCATCTCTACAAAAAAATACAAATTAGCCAGGTGTGATGGTGGGTGCCTATAGTCCCAGCTACTTGGGTTGCAGAGGCGGGAGGATTGCTTGAGCCCAGGAGGTTGAGGCTGCAGTGAGCTGTGATTGTGCTACTGCACTTCAGTCTGGGTGACAAAGGAAGACCCTGCCTCAAAAGTAAACACATGAAAATGAAAAATATATATATATTTTTTTTTTGGCCGGGCCCAGTGGCTCACACCTATAATCCCAGCACTTTGGGAGGCTGAGGTGAGAGGATCACCTGAGGTCAGGAGTTTTGAGACCAGCCTGCACAACATGGTGAAACCCTGTCTCTACTATAAATACAAAAATTAGTTTGGCATAGTGGTGCATGCCTGTAGTCTCAGCTACTCGGGAGGCGGATGTACGAGAATTGCTTAACTCTGGGAAGTAGAGGATGCAGTGAGCTGAGATCATACCACTGCACTCCATCCTGAGCAACAGAGTGAGACTTTGTCTCAAGAAAAAATAAAAATTTTAAGACTGGGTCTTGTGCTATCGCCCAGAATGGAATGCACTGGCATGATCATAGCTCACTACAACCTCAAACTTCTGGGCACAAGCGAACCTCCCACCTCAATCTCCTGAGTAGCTGAGACTATAGGCTCATGCCACCATGCCTGGTTGTCTTCATTTTCATTTTTTGTAGAAATGGGGTCTTGCTATGTTGCCCAGGCTGATATTGAACTCCTGGCATCAGCCGTCCTCCCACCTCAGCCTCCCAAGGTGCTGGAATTACAGGCATGAGCCACCATGCTCAGCTTTACATATACTTTATAATGAACATACTATATTAATACATATATATTTACATATAATAAATATACATGCATTAGATATGTACACTCATTTTTTAAAGAAAATGAATGGAATAAAAAAGCAAAAATGTTTAGAGATTACTGGGCTAAACCAAATAAAGCGAGTTTGTTTCAGAAAGAAACAATGCTGAGTGGACTGACCTTCAATTACTGTGGTTAAGTTACACAGGTAATAAGTTTAAAAATTTGTATATGGAACAGCAGTTGCTCGGAAATTTTATAAAGCCACAATATTCTAGTATGATAAACAAAGGAGGTCTCATTAATTATGTGTCATTTTACTACAGTAAATATATATATATATACACACACACATATATATATATATATATTTTGAGATGGAGTCTCACTCTGTCGCCCAGGCCAGAGCGCAGTGGCACAATCTCAGCTCACTGTAACCTCTGCCTCCCGGGTTCAAGCAATTTTCGTGCCTCAGCCTCCTGAGTAGCTGAGATTACAGGCGCGTGCCACCATGCCCAGCTAATTTTTGTATTTTTAGTAGAGACGGAGTTTCACCATGTTGGTCAGGCTGGTCTCAAACTCCTGACCCTGTGATCTGCCCTCCTCGGCCTCCCAAAGTGCTGGGATTACAGGCGTAAGCCACTGTGCCCGGGACAGTAAAAATACTTTTAAGCCCTGGTTTTTAAGTAGTAATAAAATTTTTAGAATAATATATAATTGTAAAGGAAACCATACTTTGATGATAAAAATAGTCCAAATAGTATACGTATCAGGGTGACATTAAAAATTGTATCAGACAAAATAGAATTTAAGCCAAAAACTATAAAAAAGAGGCAAAGGACAAAATGACAAAAGGGCCAATTCATTCAGAGGGTATAACAATTGTAAATATATATGCACTCAACATCAAAGCATCTTAATAAAGGATCTGAAGGAGAGATAGACTGTAATATAGTATTGCAGGAGATACTGAAGGAGGCTTCAATACCCCACTTTCAACAATGGACAGATCATTCAGACATATTAACAAGGAAACACTGAACTTTAACACTTTAGACCAAATGTACCTAACAGACTTAAGCAAAACATTCAATCCAACAGCAATAGAGTATACATTCTTCTGGAGCACATATGAACCATTCTCCAGAATCTAACATGCTGGGGCACAAAACAAGCTTCAGTGAATTTAAGAAGACTGAAATCTTCTTGATTTCTGTCAATTCAATTACATTTCAGTCCATTTCAAAATTCTGAAAATTCTACTTGAAATCATATTTTTCTGACCACAATTACGAAACTAGAAGTCAAAACGAGAACTTCAGAAAATTCATAAGTATATGGAAATTAAACAACATGCTCTTGAATGCATGAACCACCAATGAGTCAATGAAGAAATTAAAAGGGAACTTAAAAAATATGTTGAGGCAAGGCTGGGTGTGGTGGTTCATGCCTGTAATCCCAATGCTTTGGGAGGTTGAGGTGGGAGGATGGCCCGTGGCCAGAAGTTCAAGACCAGCCTGCACAACATGGTGAGACTCTGTCCCTATCAAAACAAAAAAAAAAAAAGAAAGAAAAAAGAAAAAATTAAATAGAAGGAAAAAAAAGTTGAGCCCCTCTTTTTTTATTAAAATAAATAGCAGATGGATTCAAGTTGGATGAAGAATGTAAACCTGAAACATAAAATTTTAAGAACATTTAAAAAAAGTGAAAGAATTATATAATCATAGAATAAGGAAGTTCTTTGTAACTATGCAATAATATGCAAAAGCCATAAAAGATAAAGCATAATTAAAACAATTTCTGCAAGTCTGTATTATATGCTACTGCTTGTTTTAAAAAATCTGTACATACTGTAAAAATATATGGAAATATATATATAGACGAGTGCTGGAAAGATATATATAATACTGTCAAAAAGTACTGCCTCTGGGAAAAGAGACTGGAGACTTAGATTGAAACTGCATTGTGTTTAATTATCTATTTCAAAAATGTGAATAAAATACCTTTGCATTGTCTGCTCCCAAATAAAAGCTTAAATAATCGAGACTTCACCATAAAAAAAAGTTCCTTGGAAGAAACATCTAATATAAACATCTGATTAAGAAATAATATACATAACACAAACTTCCTGGTACAATGCCTAGCATACAAGAGGTGCTTGAATTATAATAGGTAGCTATTATTTATCAATGTCTTCCTATAACACAAGTAATTATTTTGAAATGTGTGCTTAGAATTTTCAAAGTTGGGAATTCTATACATGGTATCACTATACACTCTAAAATATCCTATTTTCCAAAAATAATTTCAGCTGGACAACATTCAATTAATTGAAACTTTAAATAACTGTCATTTAGGCGCTTCAATATCTGATCATATTCCCTTTGCACTTAAACTCCAGGCCAACCGCACAGCCTTCTAATTCCTGAACACACCCATGCTTTGCTACATACCATTGAAGATACTGTTTCTTCTGCTGAGAGAACTTTACTCCATCTCCGCCTACTGAAATCATTCCTCCTAGTGAGGCCAGCTAAAAATCCCACCTATTCACAAAGCTCTCTGCAAAGTATGTGGAGAGGTTTATTACATATACACACACAAGAAGGTAACACAAGATATAAAAAGCTACAAAGACAGAATGATCAACTTAAAAAGTTATTTATTAAACAAGTTAAACACAACTAAAAGTATATTTAGAGAACCAATATTCAAGTATTTTTGTCAAACTTTCTAACGATAAGGGAAATGATAAAAATGGAACAGATATAAAAATATTCTTAAACAAGTATTAAAGCATATGGAAAATTCAGAAATAAAAATAAAAACACACCACCATACAATGAAATCAAAACGTTTCATATGTGCTTTAAAATGCTTATGGTATGAGAGCCAAATTGTCTATTTCTATGTTAATAAACAATATATAAGGTCACCTTTTTAAAGGTATACTTTGTGTCCCACAGAAATAATTTTGGAAAAAGTAAATGTTGGGTGTGTAAATTGTCCAAATTTAGCAAAACATATTTTACATATGAATATTTTCATTCATACTTACTGGAAAACAAAACAACTTATAATTTAAACATCTTGATTTGAAAACAATTTTGGATTTGATAGTTCTGCTAAATTCCAACATCATAACCGCCGAATGTGTTATCAAAAGATAGTTATTCAAAATTTTTTTAAAAAAGAATTGCTTCCCCAAATCTCAGTATTTCAGAGCAAAAGGAAAAATAACATATTCTTTGTACATAAATTCTGATGCTTAGTTTCTATGGTTAATACAAAAATGGTGCAATAAGGAAGAGCCCTGTAGAAAAGCCTGTCTTTTCAGTAGTTCCAAATGGTGTTATACAATATTTCACTGGAGATAGTGGTTGCACCACGGATTTGGCAGTTGCTTCTGTGTAAATCATACTTTGCCCCATAACATCCACCAAAGGCTTTCAAACATAATTGACTCTGGCAGTACACATGGAGAGCATGATGCGAATGGGGACTGCCAGTGGATATGAGGGCTTTTATGAAAAGGAGTTTGCTCTGTGTGTATGTTTTGAGGAGGAAACAGCGGAAGAAATAGTCTATCCAGAACTACAAAACACATTTTCCTAATTAGATCCCAACTGTATAAATAATGTAAATCAAATGCTTAGTACTTAAATGAATTCAGAATTTCTGTAGGAGAGGCAAATCCTTTCCCCCCTCCCTTTTATCATTCATCAGAGAGGACAAAGCTTTAGTTACATACATTCTTCTGGACATGGAAGGAAAGGTCTCTTTGTCCCCTTCTCAGTCTGAAAGGGAAGGAGAACGAATAGACCTGCCACTGGCAGGGCTGGAGAAAGTGAAAGGCTCCTTGTCCTTTTCTTTACTGTCATGCTTATGCTTGTGTTTGTGCTTATGTTTGTGCTTCTTCTTCTTTTTCTTGTGCTCATGGTGATGGTGGTGATGGTGGTCACTGTGTTTGGAGGCTGTAGATTCCTTAGTAAAGACTGAGAGTGGAGCGCTTGCCACTGGATGCATACCCATCTCCAAAGGTGATTGTTCTTTACCTTCAAGATTAAAAATACCCAAATGAATTCCTGTTGATAATAGGGAAAGCCAGAATAAAGAAGGAGGAAGGTGATGACAGTATGTAAAGAGGGATTCCTAAATTTTTATCACTTCTATTAGGAATGAGAGAAGTATCTAAATAAGACATGTAATTAGTTACACACAGTTTTTCAGCATTGTGGCCAGGAAGTTGAATATATAGTCCCTTATAGTCTACCGATTCAGCCATATACCAGTGTGTTACCAAATAATCTTTTAAAAATTAATATTTTCTAAGTATTATGAAAAAACAATATTACACATGGTGTTATAAGTTAAGACTCACACTGGGGCTGGGCGCGGTGGCTCACTCCTGTAATCCCGGTACTTTGGGAGGCCAAGGCGGGTGGATCACTTGAGGTCAGGAGTTCAAAACCAGCCTGGCCAATGTGGTGAAATTCCATCTTTACCAAAAATACAAAAATTAGCCAGGAATGGTGGCGGGCGCCTGTAATCCCAGGTACTCGAGAGGCTGAGGTAGGAGAATCACTTGAACCTGGGAGGCCAAGGTTGCAGTGAGCTGAGATCATGCCACTGCACTCCAGCCTGGGTGATAGAGTGAGATTCCATCTTAATAAACAAACAACAAACGACCAACACTGGTCAATGAAAACATAACTCACTCAACTACATTTCTGCTCTAAGGTATTGGGGAGGGGGAGATGACAATACAGTTGACCCTTGATCAACATGGGTTTGAACTGCATGAGCCCATTTATATGTGGACTTTTTTTGTTTTTAACCAAACGCAGATTGAAAATACAGATTTGAAGGATGCAAACCTGCGTATAGATAGAAAAGCTGGTTTCTCACATGGGCCGACTGCAGGGCTTGAGTATGCATGGATTTTCGTACACCGGGGAGGGGTCTTGGAACTAATCCCCCCTGTGTATAGCAAGGGATGACTCTATTTTCTTTGTGCCATCTGGAGAACAACTGATATACACATAAACATGATATTCTAGCTACTGATAATGGTATCTCAGTGAAAATCAAACATTTGTATAGCTCCTTAAGACAATTTCTAGGGATAGACAACATGAACTCTAAGAAGATTCAGAACACACAGCTTAAGAAACCCAGAAAAGGTGGGGAGTCTATAAAGGGAACATCTGTCTCTCTACACAGATGAGAGTAGTGTCACTACAAAGAAAGAAACAGAATTAGCAGGCCCATACTCTAGACTAGGTTGTCCTGTTAGCCTTTAGCTATACTTCATCTCTCTGGGCCTAGTTTATCATCTAAAAATCTAGATCAAATGTCCTCAAAGGTTCTCTACAGTTTTAACATTCTATCAGTCTAGGAATCTATCATAGTAGTTCTCCAACTCTAGTGTACAGATTTGCTTTTTCCTCCAGACCCACAGGCCTATAATCCTTGGGCCATACTCTGAGAAACAAATCTCTATTACTATAGGTTAATGGCATTGCTTTATATGCAGCCAACTTAAGCCCAAGATTCATCTCAGATTCCCTCCCTTCCAGAGCTACCTGGTTACCAAATCTTGTTGATTCTCATAAGTATCTCTTAAATCCACCCCCCATCCTAATCCAGTCTGCAACTGTATTAATTCAGACCACCTCATCTCATCGGGGTTATGGGTACTAGTATTATAGGTACTTGGTACTAGTCTCCTCCTAGTCACTAAGGTTTCTCTGCCTGAAGTATCTTATGGGTTAAGTGTCTAATGTATATGTAGTTCACAGCAGTGGTTCTCAGATCACCAGGGGTGATTCTGCCCCCAAAGGGACAAAATTGGCAATTGGCAATGTTCAGAGATATTTTGTTACTGACATCCTATGAGTAGAGGCCAGAATGCTGGCAAACATCTTAAAATGCACAACACACCCCTACACCTCCAACAAAGAATTATGCCTAAAATGTCAACAGTGTCCAGGCTGGGAAACCCTGCTGCATCATGGTCTTCCTAAACAAAGCTGCTTTTTATCTGCTTAAAAACCCAGTTGGTTATACTGACAGGACAAAAGACAAACTCCTTGGACTTCAGTGCAGGAATTTCCGAAAATATATATTATATATATTAATCCAAACTAGCTTAAAAAAAAAAGACTTTTCACTAAAATAGATTTCAATGTAGTTTCTTTTTTTAAAAAAGTAAATTTCTCCGCACCAATTTTGATCCAAATCTGTCCGCAAATCATGGTTTTCACCCAAACAGATATCACCATAGAAGCTTTCTAAAAATTACATTGCAGTACTAATTTTACTTATTGACAGTTCATAATCTGTCCTGAAGTTACCTTTCCAGCCTCCCATTCTTCCTTTCTATATACTACTCTAGGCTAAACCTTTCATAACACTGTGTATTTCTAAATGCTATTCCCTATGCTTGGGATGTCCTTCTTTCCTTATTCTTTGTTTAACTGATATACTCATTTAACAAACATCAGAAACTAATTGGAACTGGGGAAAATATGGATAAACTAGACAGATATCAGCCCTCCTCCCTCCTAGGAGATAGCAGACTAGCAAATAAGAAATAAATTGAGTAAGTGAACCTGAGTAAATAAAAAGGCAAAACATAAAGTGAAACAGGAGCACAATAGGAGACTTAAATTAGTTGGGGGAAGGGGGGATCAGAGAGGCAAAGTTCTCCAGGAAAGTAATGGTTAAGCTGCAACCTAAAGGAAGAGATAACGAAACAAAGAACATTTTAGTCTCTTCAATAATTTAAAACCTAACTCAAATGTTTCTTTGAAAGGTTTTCTTCAAATTTCCCAAAGGAACTGGTTCCTTCATGTTTCCACAGCATAATACAGATAAGGGAATTAAGTCAAAGAGAGATTTAAGTAATTTGCCCAAGGTGGTACTGGCGGGTCTGAGCTACAAATCTGAAGAGCCTGACTCCAGGGTCTTAATCTTAACCACGATGCTACAGTGTCCATCTACACAAACATGGACTGCTGTATTTCTGTTGTCTTTGAGTCTCTTCCATTAAACTGATGGCCTCTTGAGGACAGGAAGTCTGTCTTTTTCATCTTTGTGTCCCAACATATAGCACAGTTTCTATCATCCCCTAGCACGCCCCCTTAACAAAGCTTGTTAAATGAATGAATTAATTAATATAACAGAATTATACAGTTGTGTTTCTTTTTAAATGTCAAGTGAGCTTAGTCCAACTAAATACAACCTGAAGGTCACTGATTTTGAGGAGAGAAGAATAATGCACAAAAACTATTATAGCTCATCCATTCAAGTGGTATTTGACTCCTGTACTTCCTCTGTGTTAGGCACTGCTCTAATATTTTAGAACATGTGAACAAATTAAAGTTTCTGTTCTCACAGATTATTCACATTTTAGTATCCTCAAATTCTATTTCTTATACTAATGATCTTTGTAATAAAGCCAAAACTAATACTAAAGTAAAAGCTAAATATCTTATTTATATATAGAGGCAAGTTTGGGGAACTATATCTTCTGTAATAATTGGCACCCAGATATTCTTTAAAAGAACAAAAATATTGAGGATTATCTGATTTAGTTTCAGCCATATATGCTACCATATTTTAATTCAGATTTTAATACATAAATTGCATGAATATGTTCCTGATTCTATAAATATGGGAAAATAGGCCAACACCTAACAGAATACACAGGTGGGTGATAAGAAGTAATAAGAAGCTTTAAAGTCTCGTGAACAAATTCCTTTAGCTTCCATCTCATTATTTAATCATTCTATATCAACAGACTTTGCAGCTTTCTCGTTGGCTGTCTGCACTCTTGGGAGCTTGAGGTTCTCTTCTGAATTTCAGAGAAGAGAGAAGTTTTACCATTTAATCCTAAATACCTACCAAACTACTTGGATTGCAGAAAGCCGATCATTATGTTGGAACCTGTACTTCTCAGTTGCCTAATGGGCAAATGAGCATTTGTAGGTATAATCTTTCCAAAGAATACTTAAAACCACTTCAAAAGTGAATCCAATTTTTTTGTCTAGACAGTGGCCTTACACTTTGCATCAAAGAAATATTGGTAATAAATCTTGCATTTTTCTTGAGATACATGAAGTCTACTAAGAAGACAATGGATTAGTTAGCACCAAGGACAAAGGAGTTAGAAACCAGGGCTCCTAGGACAAATGGCTAATCTCAGGTCTATGGCAGAATATTTACAAGATGAGCTTGAAACACAGGGTGTAACTGCAAAGAAGTTAAAGTCTTATCAAATGAATTCAGTCCAAAGATGGAACAAACTGAATATGATAAGGACAATAATTGTGACAGACTGAAAATGACTGATCAGCATTGGAGATTGCTAGTCAATAACTCATTATTTTGAAAATTATTAAATACATAGAATAATTAAGCTTTGTTTTCCTATAGACTTATACCACTGGGTAATAGTAAACGAGGAGAAATTTAGCTTTACAGAAGCAATCCAGCTTATAAATAAAAATGAAAGTATAAATTGAAATATCACTATCTTGCAACTTAATGAATTAAGGAATCTAGGTTGAACATCTATAGTGGTTAACCTCAAAGAGTCAACCAGACATTGTATGCTTCCAGACTAAAGAACACACACCCTTTATAAACCTGAATCCAATAAGAATTCTAGATACAACTACAAATTGACAGAAACTAGAGAACTTAACATGCTAATTATATCATGGGTATAAAATTAATAAAATACAGACTTGAAAAGTACAGAACAAAACCTAGTTTCTTTAACAAATACATGGCAAGAGAGGAAAAGAAAAGAGGTATGAGTTGGAAACATTAGAATAAAAAGTACAGAACAAAACTCTGGCTTCTTTAACAAATACATTGTAAGGGAGGAAAAGAAAAAAGGTATGAACTAGAAATGTTAGATTAAAAAAGATACAAAGGCTGTATCAGCCAACTGGAATGTGGACCTTATGTGGACACTGATTTAAACAAATAAATTGTAAAAAATAAAAATAAATAATGGTATTTAGAGTCAACTGAAATTTAAACA